ATTGTAGTGCATGTATTGCTTCACAAATATGATACAGGCTTGCAACAATAAACATAAACAAGCATGAAACTGGGTGATATGAAGTAAACAAGAAGCTGAAGCAATGGAATTTTAAAAAACTGATATATGACTTGGGATAAAATTGAAGGAAAGAAACACAGATAGAAAGAAATTATTTAAAAATATTTAATAATATTAAAAATAAGTAAGGCTACAAGTGTAGATGTGTTGGAAAATTTCCTTATGGGAAGGCACAAGCAGTCCTTACTAGCAATACATGTCACATGCGCATGCACACACACACACAAATATGCATGCATGAACGTACACACACACACAGACTACACATGACACAATATAATGCACAATAATGTCATTAAGCTTTGTCATAAAATGAGAAAACAATGTTCTAGTCAGCTCCTAATTTATTAATGTTCTTTGATATGCATTTGGTGTGTTTATATCTTGTTAGGCAGTGTGCAGTGTCGAGCTGTGTGTGCATGTGTGTATGCACTTGCTTGTTGCTTGCACAGCTTGGTTCCCCTCTCCTCCTTCCAACTGGGCCACCAAGCCATAAAGATTGGGGACTGTTGGTTTAGGTCCTATCAATAGAAAGCTAAACTAGTATCTTAGTACAGTACTTAACATAATTGATTCATATCAATGACTATACATTTATAGTACACATATAGTAAGTCATTGTTTGTCTAACTGGGCCTAAATTGAGTGCATGTTTCTAAATAAAAATAAAACAATTGAAATACATGTCAAGTAGGTAATAAAATCTTCCACAAGATAGCATAGCTGAAGATTTGGCTTGATTTGTTTATGAATGGCTGGGCCAGGCAGAGAACATGCAGAATATATATTTGCTCTTCAGCAGATCACTGAAAAAAACATATGAATTGGAGAAAGAATATATTGCACTTATGTTGATTTAAGGGAACCATATGATAAAATAAAGAGTCTTGAATTATGGAACATATTGTATAAATATGGAGTTTGGATACTGGTTGCTGGATGTGATGAAATGGATGTATCATCAAAGCAAAACATGTATAAAAATAAATAGAGGGCTTAGTTAATGGTTCAACAAACAGGTAGCAGGACAGAGATGTGTGGTTCCTTCTTCATGCTTAAAATATTTATGGATAAATTTAAAAGGGATAATCCTGGTGATATTAGAAGTATGATGGTCAGGAAGTATTTTCACTTAACATGCAATCAGAACTGTTCTGTTTGTTGAGTATCTAAATGATTCCCCTCAAATATTAGATTACATAATACAATAAGAAATACAGATCTGAAAATCAAAGTTCAAGATAGTTCTATTCTCCAAAAATATGGAATAAATGATTTCATGTCATAGATAAATGGTAAAAAAAATAGAGCAAATAGATGATTTTTTACATATTGGTAAAATGTATACAAAAATGAAAATAAAATAAAATAAATAGAGACATTCTGAGATGTAGAGATGCTCCAGAAATATAGGAAGGTGCATGTAATCCATTCCAAGAAATGAATGCTTGTCAAAAGAAGGCAAAGTGATTGCTCATAAAATATTATATGAATGTGAGAGACAGTTATGTCAGGAAAGACATAAAAATTATTTTGAATATAGTGAGAATAGGGTACATAAGAACTGTGTGAACTGAAAGGAGAAGAAATAGCATCAAACCTAAATGAATGAAAAATAAATGAGGATTGAAAAGGGAAAAGAATGATCAAAACATAAGTATCTTGAGATGGTTAATCATACAGAGTGAATGAATGAAGACTGAATTGCAAGACAAATGTATGAAGGAAGGGTGGATTGGTCAAGACGAAAATGAAGTTTATGGTTGCATAAACTTATCTTCAAAAAGAGAGGTGAGATATAATAAAGAAAAAAAGGCAATAGATGAAGAGTGTATGGGTAGAGTAGAAGCAACTAGGTTTACAAAAATAGTAAGGAGATACAGTACAATAAATTATTTGTCTAATTTAGTTTTAATTTATTTCCAACACATAGAAGGGTTTCATACTTGGCTATGTCTGTACAGATTTCCCCATCTCAGCTGTCTCCACATGTTCAAACATAAGGTTCTTCTAGCAAGCTCCCATCTTCATTCCTTGTAAATCAGTGGTAGTTACCTGAACATCGATGGGGAAACGGGGCAAGCTGATAGGGAAGGCACATGTGCTCTGATGTCAGAAAATAATGCAAGTATCTAATTTATGTCACTTGGACAATAACATCGTGACATATTAAATTCTTTCTGATGCCATCATAACTTCTGCCTGACCCCTGTGGAGAGATATTTGTATTTGAAGTACAGTTCACAAATATGTTTGTCACAATGATTCTGCGAACTGGTCATTATTTCCATTTTATAGATGGAATATCGAAGCTGAAAATCAATAATTTATTTTATTATTGGTATGGATTTTCAAATTCAATATGTCTCTATGCCCCAGCTAATAATAGCTCTCATTAAATAAATGAAAATATAGTAAAGAAGAAGAGAGACAATGTCTATTGAGAGAGACAGAAGCCATTATACTTCCTATTAGGGCTGTGCACGCTTCAAAAAATAATTCAAAAGTGCTTTGAGCCTCACATGACTGAATCTCCCCTCTACTATTCATCACGTAGCCACCATTTCTACAGGCTTCTGAAGAGGAAAAGATACAGTAAAAGTTTGGTTTGCCATTGCCTTTGGAGTACTTTTTATTTCCTGAAGTTCTGTATATTTGAATTTTTTCAAATGCATGTATATTAATATTCTCTGAAATCTAAGAATACAGAGACCCATTTTCAGATCTTGAAGTGATAGAAAAGGCTTATGACCAATAAGAAAAAAAACAGCCTCTTCGTGCATTCAGTGCTCAAAATATATTTTGATGTGCAGAGGAAAAAAACCTCCAATAATTTAATTGCAGTAACAAACTCAGTGATGTGTGTTTATCTTACTTCCACACACAGGGATTTACTAAAATATAATCTTATGGAAAAGTACTTCTGGATCCAAAAAATCCAAACTCAATGGAGCTCTGCATACAAAAGTTATTAACATCAAATGGTTCCTTTAAACTTGAAATTCAAATCCAGAGAACCAACTAATCCAAACACAAATTAAATGAAATATCCTCTGGAAAATCATAAAACTATTGCACTCAGGGGAAAATATTGAGTGATGAACCGAAGGACGAACAACTCGATTCTTTGGGTAAAAATGAATTAAGCACTAACCTCTTGAATTTAAATTATATTATTATACAAGGCTATCTTTTTCAAAACTATTGGATCAACCTTTGATCTCTTTACTACAATTCAGCTCTTTTAAACTTTCTACTTATTGATCTTCTCATATGGTGGAAATACAAATGTCAAACCCATAACAAAACCATTGTATCACTGATATCCAATTTTTACTATTTTTTTTAACATAATGGTAATTTGACAGGAAAAATAACTTGTTACCTATAAATGGTCCTATTGATTATCTTGGCATATAACATATCAAATTTTGAGTGTTTCAGTGCCCAGCCATTTCTATAATACTTAACAAGTAGAATACAGTTAAGGAAAAGGTGTGCTTTCTTTTAAATTATATAAATGTAGATTTTTAAAAAATGCAGAGTTTAATTTGTTTCCCAATTACCCCAGTCCTCACCACTTTTCGTTCTGATCTCTTACCATCTCCATCCATGAAAAGAGAGGACCCAAAATCCATGAATTTGACAACATATTTTAAGTATGGCTAGATCTATCAAATCAGGTTTTTAAACAATTGTGGAATTATGGATAATGCATATCCAGAATATTGCAGATATTATAGATAGGCCTTGAGAGAGATTCTGCATTCATACTGTCATGCTGCTTTTAGTGATCAAACTCAAAGCATTGTGCAGCCCTAATGCTTAATCTGTTGAAGCTAGGCAAAGCCTGGAAATTCCATATATATAACAAATATCATGGAAGAAAAGTTAGGTATGAATTTAATAAATAGGTAAACACTAAATTATGGGGATCATTAGTTGCCTGAATGTACATTAAAACTAGGTGCTACTTCTAGATGCTTTTTGAATTTTTTTATTCACTTTATGGTTGGAGAAATTGATAATTTTTTTTCTGTTCTTCTCAGAGGTCAGGTTTATCATCAGAGATGGTGGCAACAGACTACCAGGAGAGCTAGTTTGGTTAAAGGAACTGAGCTAGAAATTACAAGACTGTGAGTTTTAGTCCTGCCTTAAGCATAAACCAAATGGATAGCCACAATAGTAATTATCTCTAGCACTCTGCTGCCCTGGAAATATCCTCATTGTAGGGAAAAAGTAAAATAAGAGTTAGAGTTTTACAGGTAATTCTCGAGTTATGAATGTAATAGAGTCTGTCAATTACATTCATAATCCAAGAATTCATTAACTGGATCATGTTAAATGAACATAATCCCTCCCTCCTTTACCCAATGTATTCACTAATTGAATGCTTAGGTTGTTAAATGCACATCAGGGTGGGGAGGGAAGACCTATCCAAGCCCCCCCCCTCCCCACATCTACATAGGCACTAGACCTGTGGAGGCTGATACCTTTTGAAATCTCAATGATCAAGTGACCTGGCTCCCCTCTAGCCTCTCTACTATGGTTTCTTTGCCTGCTCCAATGCTCCAAAAGTGGAGCCGTGAAAGCAGAGACTGAGGAGAATGAACATGTTATGCTCAGCTTTGCTGACTCACCAAGGACACCCAATCTGCTTTTGGAGTACTTGGCAGCCTCAGTCAGTGTGAAGGAATGTGAAACTATGCCCCCAAAGGCTTATCTGTGTCAAAAGCTTTTGCAAAGGTATGGAAGGCTTCAAGCAGTGCGAGATTGCTCACCCAAAGCTTTCCATCCCTTTGCAAAAGGTTTTGGCACAGACTAGCCTTTGGGAGTGCAGTCTCATGCTCCTTCAGGTTACCTGGCTCTCCAAAAGTGAATCAAGTGTCCTGCACAGGCAGCCTCGGTGAGTCAGTGAGGGGTGAACTCATCTTGCTTGTCCTCTGATCTCAATGCCCCAGTTTTGGAGTGTCAGGAGCATGTGAACCCTGTGGCAGAGCAGTTAGAGAGGAGAGAGAAGGAGCAGTCTCATGTTTTGGGACTCTGGATCTTTGAAAAGTAAGTGAGCCTTTGGGGGGGGGGGAGCTGGTGGGATATCACAGCAGGTCCAGTGCCTCTTAGGTCCCTGTGGGGGGTGGGAATAGGCAGGGGTAATGTTGCAGTGTCTCTGCAGTCAGTCGTAAAGGTGAATGACTGCCATGGTGCTGCAATATTCAGAACTTCCGGACAGTGTCATAAATAGATTTAGGGGTGGTGTCATAACTTTGAACCATTGCTAAGTGAATTATTGAGGACTACCTGTACTTGTAATAGGAGAGTTTTGAACACATAAAGTATTAAACACTAATTGTTTGGGTCATACATATTAGGAACTATAGTTGTTCCATAACTCCCATCTAGTCTACACTCTCACACACTCTCATCATTCATCATAGACTATGGTTCATAGGAGATGTCGTTGATCAACATCTACAGAAGCGCAAGTTTACCATGTCTAGTTTAGTACTAGCAAGTCAGCCAAAGTTTAGCTCATGAGTATATGATATATAATTGAAATGAAATGAAATGAAATGAAGAAGTTGGTTAGAACTTTAAGTAGGAATTATCTTATAGAGAAAATCATTAAGAATTAAACCATTCATTTACCATATCTAGAACAACCCCAGATTTATCTTTTGTCTAATATTCTTTTAGTATGTTATAATGTTAACATGGAAAAGTTTGGTTAAAGTTAAGAAATTGTTTTAGCTCTGCTTCAGTGACTTGTCCAACTGAAATATAAATTTGTTTCCAAAACAAATTATTTTAGTTTTATCATTGTGCACTGATGAAATTACCTAGTTTAGTTATAAAATGTTTGCAAGAGATCCAGTAAGCTCAAAGAACACCAGGGAACCCAGAGAGTTTGGGAGGGGGCACATGCCCTTCCCGTGCCAGGCCAGCCCCTGCAGCCCTGGGGCAGCCATGCTGGGTGGCAGCGGGAAGGGCACTAGGTTGATGCTCCTTTGGGCAGGGTGGGCGGCATTTGCCCCAGCGATGCTGGGGGGCTACCTTCCAGGACCAAAGCACCAGTGGAACCCTGGAGAGTTGGAGACGGTGGTGAAGCCAGCGGGCATCCTGCCTGCAGTGCCCATGCCAGCTGCCCTTCCCCTACCAGACCTGGAATGCTGCTGTGTTTTAGTAGATGCTAGCCTTGCCCTTCAGCAGACCTGGGCAGTTGCTGGAGAGAGAAGGGCCAATTCAGTGTTTGGAGATGGAAATCAAGTTAGTAAAGAAATGCTTGGGGAAAACAAGGGCATCTTGGTGGTGGTGTGGCAAGCTCTCCAGCTGTTGGCAATGGAGAAATGTGATGGAGCTGGAAAACAGGTGGCAAGGCAAATCCCCCAAGATTGCCACTGCTGAAACCGGCCCATCTCTGTCCAGCACCTGCCCAGACCCACCAGAGGGAAGGCCAGAACCTACTGAAAGGTGGTGGCATTTTGGCTCTGGCAGGGAAGGGGCAGTCGGTATTGGAGCTGCAGTGAGGACACTGTCTGGGTTTCTGCCTGCCACTTTGGTGGCTGTGTGGACAGAGCTGTGAAGGGGACCAGGTGGCTGAAAGTACAGCCCAGGGATGATGCAGAACTGCAGCCTTCCACAGCTGCCACCATTGAAACAGTGGATGGGGACCAGGTGGCACCAAAGGACCGAAGCAGCAGGGAGAGAAGGGGGAGGCAGATGCTGCCATTGGGCAGATGATCTGTAGGGTTGGGCAAGACAGAGGTGGCAGGAACTGAAGAAAGTCCCTCCAGCAGCAGATGTGGCTGATGTGCATTGGTGGCTGAGGCCTATCACCATCACTCCCCTCTGCTCCAAAACAGTGGGGGGACTAGGTAAGGGGACTGAACTTGCCCTGCCCATCTTCCATAGCATGGAAGTCTGGCTCAGAAGGGGAGTAAAAGGGAAGAGACGGCTGGGTGGGCGAGTCTTAACTAGGACTTACTTTGGGGATAGGGCTTATGTTAGGCCTACTCCCAAAAATGAAGTTAGGGCTTATTTTTGGAGAAAACATTGTACATACATTATATGGAGACAGATGTAACAATATAACTATAAATGCCATGTAATTATTATTTTATTTATTTATTACATTCGTACAGCTGCCTAACTCATCCACAATGACTCCATGTATCACTGAAATATATGTTTGCTTTTTGCCTTCCTTTTTTAATATTTAGGATCCATTTTATGAAATTTTTAAAAAGCCCTTTAATAAAAAAATAATGAGCACACACTTTTTAGCAAGGGTATGTGATACTGGTTTCTTTTCTGCACAGCACCTTCTTTACAGTGATCTATCACTTAAACTTCTTGTTCATATGATGTATTAGTCAAATTCATCATCAGCTTGAGTAGCCTTACCAGTGATTTATATGCCAAGTAAATCTTTAGTGAAGCAGACTGATGATACATAATTCAAGGATGGTGCCACAGGAGGTTCTAGAGGAAGATTCAATGGGATTAAAAGATACAGGCAGAGCAGTAAAATCTCATATCCGGAAGGCTACTTTGATCATCTAAGAACAAGCCAGTTATGAAATCAATGCTGTTCAAAGAATCTACTGTATCTATCTAGTTTTGTAAACTCTGCTTTCAATCTATCTAGTTTTGTAAACTCTGCTGTTTGTAAGAGGATTATGGAACATAGTTTCCTTTGAGCTCATACAATGCCTTACTCCCACATCTGAGCACCAAAAGCCCTAAATAGCAGCAAGTAAATGGACTTTTTAAATTCTCTTTGCTGCAAATTAATGGTCCAGAAGATTTTTATAGTCATTGGGACACTGCATCAGCATCATCAAAAGTAGTTGGATTCATTAGGGAATGTCTTCTATCTATCAAAAAGATTTACAAACAATATGAAAAAAATGAAAAGAATTACATCCTGTAACCTGTATTATTGAGATTTTAAACTGACCTGACAACAATAAAATAGGGATTGTGCATATATATCCCTCATGGCATTAAAACATTGTAGTAGCAGAAGGCTTGACATGTTTGCTAACCTGCATACACTCAGCTTGGAGAATTGTAGCAGCTGCAAAATTTTGATGATTTAGGCTTTTCTTGTTTGTTTTTAAAGGAACTGGCTATAATTGGAACTGGATGGATTTTGAGCTGATGAAAGCTGAAAGCTGGCAAATTTCAGACTGTGGGTTGCAGGGATGTTGTGACAGGAACTTTTTAGGATAATTCATGAAATGGAATAGGTCTTGCTATTTCTGTTTCCATCTTCCTTCCCAGCTTATCTTACAGTAAGGGCAACATATTCATGCTGCATTCTTGATAGAATATATTACATTTTCCAGTAGTGTATAAAGTACAAGCATAATCTACTTTACACTATCATTTATTTTATCTGCAATCAATATGAATGTGTAATGCAAACATACCAAATAGATTGTAATATGTGTGTGTGTGCAGGCACAGGTCCCTGCAGTTGGTTGATAGGATTGCCTACTTTCTAAGGTTGAGAGTGAGTGACTGACTCAAGGTCATCTAGCTGGCTTTGTGCCCAACAGGGACTAGTATTCATAGTCTCCCAGTTTCTATCCTGATGCCTTAACCATTGCACCAGCTGGCTCTCTTAGAGTACTTTACATGTATGAAAGCATTCAGAAGATTAAACACATGCTTAGTCTAAATTGGAAATAATTTTTAGAAGGATTGTTTTGGAAATGAAAAACTATGTCAAGGTACTGGCATTCCCATTTCATTTTTGTGAAAAAGGTAGAATTTTTTCCTCTTTTAAACACAAGTAGTAAAGACATTCTGCAGACGTAGAATGAGAATAGTTGTATTTCTTAAACTACTTTTTTAGCTTCAATGTATATAATGCCTCTCTTCAATTTGCCAGCTTCTTTTTTTAATTATCTCTTATATGGACATGATTTAGCAACTAGAAAGATAAAATGGGAGTAAAAGAAATACTCATATGTGAATCTTTAGAAATAGTTATACATACTCTATAAGAATCACCTTCCATGTCCCAATTGCTCTGAAAACCAAATAATAATAATAATAATAATAATAATAATAATAATAATAATAATAATAATAAAAAAGTTGGAAGGGACCTTGGAGGTCATCTAGTCCAACCCCCTGCTCAGGCAGGAAACCCTATACCATTTCGGACAAATGGCTGTCCAGTCTCTTCTTAAAAACTTCCAGTGTTGGAGCATTCACCGCTTCTGGAGGCAGGTTGTTCCACTAGTTAATTGTTCTCACTGTCGGGAAGTTTCTCCTTAGTTCTAGGTTGCTTCTCTCCTTGATTAGTTTCCATCCGTTGCTTCTTGTCCTGCCTTGGAGAATAGCTTGACTCCCTCTTCTTTGTGGCAGCCCGAGATATTGGAACACTGCTATCATGTCCCCCTTCATCCTTCTCTTTGTTAAACTAGACATACCCAATTCCAGCAGCTGTTCCTTATATGCTTTAGCCTCCAGTCCCCTAATCATTTTTGTTGCTCTTCTCTTTCTAGAGTCTCAATATCTTTTTTACATCATGGTGACCAAAATTGGATGCAGTATTCCAAGTGTGGCCTTACCAAGGCATTGTAAAGTGATATTAACACTTCACTTGATCTTGATTCTATCCCTCTGTTAATGCAGCCCAGCATTGTGTTGGCCTTTTTAGGCAGCTGCAGCAAACTGCTGGCTCATATTTAGGTATTTGTCCACTAGGACTCTGAGGTCCCTCTCACAGTTACTACTATTGAGCAAGGTACCCCTTATACTATACCTGTGCATTTGGTTTTTCTTGCCTAAATGTAGAACCTTGCTTTTTTCACCATTGAATTTCATTTTGTTAGATAGTGCCCAGTGTTCAACTCTGTTCAGATCCTCCTGTGTCTTAAGCCTGTCTTCTGGAGTGTTGGCTATTCCTGCCAGCTTGATGTCATCTGCAAATTTGATGAGTTCCTCATCTATCCCCTTGTCCAAATCGTTGATGAAGATGTTGAAGAGCATTGGGTCCAGATGAGAGCCCTGGGGCACACCACTACATACTTCCCTCCATGTAGATGCAGCTCCATTGAGGACCACACACTGAGTATTTATTAGCAAAAATAAATGGGGCCAAGCAAAAATTATCAATAGTTCAAAAAGTGCTATGATTGCGGAGAATCCTGGTAAATACTTTGCTTTTTAAAAGTATTTTTCAAACTTGGGAACCTGGACTTCAACTCCCAGAATTCCTCATGGAAATTCTGGAAATTGAAGCCCATGTACCTTAAAATTGCCAAGTCTGAGAAACACTACTTTAAAACAAGTTGTGCTAAAAGTAGCTTAAAGGTCAAGATTTTCCCTGTCCAGTCATATCTGACATCAAGGTGCAGTGCTCATCTTTGTTTCTTAGCTGAGACAGCCAGTGTTTTCCAAAGACATTTCCATGGTCATCTGGCCAGCATGACTATTCACAAAACACATGGAATGCTGTTACCTTCCCATCAAAGGGGTACCTATTTATCTACTGTCTTAGCATGCTTTCAAGCTGTTAATTCGGCAGAAGCTGGGGTGATCAGCCTGTCACAAAGTGCTTGAGTCTTGAACCCAAACTGTCAACTTTTTGGCTGACCAAGTTTAGTGTCTTTAATTGCTGAGCCACCGGACCCCCCTAAAAGTAGCTTACATGGAGCAATTCTAAATTGTCATCAAAATTAATTGGGGCTGCCTATAGGCAAAGTTAATTTGTATAGAATCAATGATGGTTACCTTTATTTAATTAAAAAGATCAAGGTATAAACAGGGATTTTTGGAGATGTAGTATGCTGATGATTTTAGCAATTGCTATATTACTTTCCCTTTAAATCATTTCATAATGATATTCACAGCATAGACCAGTTTTCTCAAACAGATTTTGCTTCAGCTGTTTGCCTATTCAGTTTCCAATCTGCATAGTAATGATTAAGAGTATAGCAAACCAGGGGGGAAATGCAAGTGCCCTGATTGTGATTCCTCCATGTTTATGATAAGCTTTCCCTCACAATGATTCTAGTGTCCCCTTCTGTTTTGTCACTGTGGCAGGGGAACAAATAACAGATGTCTTTAACAACTGTGCATGGGATACAGAGTGGACAGGAATGTAACTGTAAAACAGTAATTGCAGTAGACCAACACTGACTTCACATTTCTCAGCTTCTGTGAGAAACCAGTGATGGGATTCAGCCAGTTCGCACCATTTCGGCAGAACCAGTAGCTAATTTTTTGTTGCCCAGGCCCAGAATGGACTTCCAGAAGCAGCATCTACACAGTTGTTCATATATTTGAATACCACCAGTGTAAGAAACTGTTGCAATAAATCAAAGAGATCAGGTAAGCAGAGAATTACAACATTCCAAAAATTTTGTTTTTGCATTTTCTCTTAAAAGATTTATCTTTTCTTACTTTTTTGTTTTGAAATTCAATAAAATTATATTTATTAAGCTAAAATACTCCTCTCCATTAAAGTAAGAAAAAAGCAAGATAAAACTGCAAAAAAGAAAAAAGTAAAAAGAATAGAAATAAATAATTTCTGACTTTCTTTGGTAGAGCTATAGATTAAAAAATACATCAGACTCTTACTCTGAAGTCTACATTATTTATACAATCTATATAATTTTAATTATCAGATCCCAAAATCAGAATTTTTTTTCTTTGATTTCTCGCAAAAAGCCCGAAATGGTTTCCATGTAGAAATAAAATGGGTCAAAATTATTTTCTTTAATCAAAAGTTTAAATTTCACCATTTCTGCCAATTCTATCAGCGTCACTATCCATTTTTCCACTGCAGGTATTTGTAAATCCTTCCACCTTTGTGTACATACTGCTACTGCTATCATATATAAAAACAGAGTCCCATAAGAGTTTCTGATCTGTTTTCCCATTAACCCAAAAGAAAAATCTCTAGTTTCAATTGTATGCTTTCTTTTAAAATTTTCTGAATCAAGTATATATAGTCAATTCTAATATTTTTTAGTTTTCTTTTTATTTCCACCAAAAGTGACAAAATGTACCTTCAGTTTGATTACATTTCCAGAAAATATTTGAAAATTTATCATACAGTCTTTAATTTGTTCATTCTCTGTTTCCATTTTCAGTAAAAAAAAAAATGTTGTCAGGCTCCAAAAGAATAAGAAATAAGAAAAACTTGCTGTGATTCTTCTGAGCAGTTTTCTATATCGTCCTCACTCAGTGCCAAATTAAAGCAAACTACTTACACCATTAAATATACACAGCGAGAGCTCTGACTGTTCTGACTCATGACCCCTGATTCAAACTGTCTAAATTTCACTGCTTTTTGCTCTTCTGGAATGCACTTCTTCCTTCCTGGGGACCTAGAGACTACTTTCCCACTACATTTGTATTTCTTAGGGGTCCTTGATGCTTTCTGAGCTTGGTCACTTTTTCAAGACATTTCTTTACCCCATACTAGATAACATCATTAGTTTGTACGTCAATTTGTTCTTCTTAGTTGCAATATAATCATAATCTGTACACAGTTCCACATCCAGTTCAGTCTTACCATTTTTAAAGTCAATTTTTTCAGATCACATTTAAATCTTTCTATCAGCTAAACACAGAAAATCATGTGTGTGTGTGTGTGTGTGTGTGTGTGTGTGTGTGTGTGTGTGTCTGTTTAACTTAAATTCTTCCTTCAGGAAAAAAAATCAGTATATTAGCATAAGTTATCTATTTTTTGTTTAAATATTATTTGTCTTCTTAAAAAAGCTTCTTTGGTTGACAAGCATAAAGAGATTTTAGGAGACAGTCTTGCCATATTCCAATTCCAAATTTTCAATATGGCACATCTAATAAAATGATTTTTAAAATCTACATTAAACTTAACATTATTGTACCACAAACAGCTGTGCCAACCAAATCTTAAATCATGTTCTGCCAGTTCTAATAATCTCCTGTTTCATTCATTCTTTCATCCACATTAAACAACCTGCAAAATACAGTTTCAAATCTAGTAATCCTAATCCTCCCCTTTTTAAAGCATCCTACAGTAATTTATACTTAATTCTCAGTTTCTTTTCTTGCCATACAAATTAACTGGTACATCTGTCATCAGTATGGGTATTGTCTAAAATAGAAATAAAATGCCAGGTTATTCATGATCAATATTCATGATTACAGAAAGCTTTCCAACTATAACTGTTATAATTTTTTCCATCTCAACATATCTTTTTTAACTTCATTCCAAAACTTGACTTAATTACTTCAAGATAACATACAACTCAAATTAATCAAGAAAACATCCAAATATTTGTTTTTCTCAGTTTGAAACCCAATTTTTCAACAGACTTCATACTGTAGTGTATTCATGTTTTTAACCAGGAACTTTGTTTTTTTACTATTAAAACTCACTAGTTAAGGGTCTGTTATTTTATTTAGCCCCATTATTGTCTCATCTTGTTTGATGCCTCTATTCAAAATGTCAAGAGCCACAAAAAACAATAAAGAAGGTACATACTATTCTGGATACCTCATTGTTTAGTTAGGCCACCATTAACCATAATTTGAACCTTCTGAGATGTATATATCAACTTAATTACTTGAATAAAATTCTCACCAAAGTCCATATCTTTCAGAACTTTAAAAACTGAAAATGTTCTTCTGAGCTCTCCATCTATCCTATAAATTATCAGATAATTCCATCATTCCATGTTTATTATCTGCAAATAGACAATTAATTATCTCACACAAAGAAGAGTGCTTTGTGAAAATTCAGTTATTCTATTATGCTAGCTTTGCCTATTAAAAGTATAGTGCAGCTTAAGTTATTTTTAAGATGTAGCTTTAGGCATTACCATATTTTTTCATGTATAAGACACTATTTTCTCCTGCAAACACCCTGTTCAAAAATCAGGTGCGTTTTATACAAATGCAGCGTCTTATACATGGAAAAATAATGGTAACCTCCACAGCCCAGGGCATGTCTGTGTGGGTTCTTTACATGCTCCTGCCATGCCGCCTGGTGCAGGTGTGAAGCCCCTGCGGGCTTGCCAGTAATGGGTGGGCAAGGGGGCAAGATCGTCGGATGGTGGCATCCGGAAGCAGCAGATGGGACTAGCAGCATGAATGGCAGCAACAGCCCTTTCCCTCCCTCGTACCTGTATGCTGGCCGGTATGTGGAATGCAGCTGCGAGGCCGTCCTGCTCAATAATAGCGGCCGGCTGAACTTCCAGATTTGCCAGCTCAGCTGTTCGCCACTCCGCCAAACAGCTTCACTTCCCTTGTCTTGCTGTCATGTCGGTGCTCATGCCAGTTTGTTTACTAGGGTCAGAAGGCTGCTGCTGTGAACTGATTATGCATGCTCATAGTGCCGGATGCTGGTTAGGTGGGTGGGGCCGATAGGGAGGCATTTATTTAGAGCACTGGGAGGTGGTTGCTCCCAGCACTGACTTTGTTTGCTGTAAGCTTGGAACTCGCATGCCAGAGCATCTTATACAAGGGTGCGTCTTATACACAGAAAAATACAGTATATTTAAATTTATCAAAGTTATCAAATCATAATCAATGGATACATGCATTGATCAATTTGGAGTTTAACTGTTTTTTATTGTTAAACATTAGAGCTAGTGGTGAATGCAATAAATTAATTTAGCTGCTAAGTAAAATATCATTTTGGGATTACTAAAGAAAGAAATATTGCTCATAAATTTTGCTCAATCTTGGCAACTTTGCACTTATTAAAGAGAGGTGTGGAACTGAAGTACTGCTCCATTTTTCCTATTGTAACATTTCCTAAGGATTAAAAGACACCAGCATCAATAAACTTATCTTAAATATGAACTAGACTTACAAGACCTTTTGGAAATAGGTTGCCATTATTTTTCAAGATACTTTTTGAATAATCCCAGATTCCGTTATCAAATTTTGCATAAATTCCCAGACTCATCTACCATTGAATATTCCAAAATTCGGTGATCATTTTTTTAATCAATAGTCTATCATTTGTGTATTCTATGTAGATCTCTGATATATGTGTTGATCAAGATGAACCCTACTTAGCTTCCATGTCCAGAGAAAGTCAGCCAAGTATTACCATCTGCTGAAGATTCCCAAATATAGAGTAAGCAAATATAAATGTATTTTATTTTTCCATAAAAAAGAAAAATGGCAAAACTTGGCTAATAGTTTCCTTAGCTTTCTTATTCCTGTTATGGGATTTTGAAGCTGAAGTATTCATTTTCCTGTATGTAAAATAAACACAAAATATTGTTTTACAGAAATTTGTTTTAGAATTTTTACAAAGTTTTTTTTTCCTGTTGCATTTACAGAATCATACGGGATGAACTTGATTAGAGTAGTGATGGGTGATGGTACTGTTGGTAGATGTGAAGGCTCAGCTGGGAACAGATCATTTTGGAGAAGTTCTGTATATATGGTTGCTAAGAGTTAACACTGACTTGATGGCACATAATAAATTAAATATTAATCTGTGGTAACTGCAGTAAAACAAGAATTGAATCCAACTCTTAACTGGACTTAAAGTAAATCCATTGATATAATTGAAAGTCATGACTAACTTAAATCCTTTTGATTGATTCTCAATCCTACAAGCTGCAGTGAATCAAACTATTTATGGATCCTGATAGTATTTATCTTTTACAACTTCCATGCATTTCACTGATGCAAAGAAAATAATAATAATAATATAGTGATCCTTAAAATATTTTATGTGTACTTATTTTAATTGAATACTTGTGTTTCTTTTTTCTTCCAGGGTATGGAAAGTTACTAAAGGAGTCACACAAAGCCAATTGGCAAGGCTGCTTTAGGATCCAATGAAGCAAATTCAAAAATATGTCCTTTGTGTTTGGTGCTATGCATTTTAAAGGACCAACTACAAAGTATTTGTTTAGAGTAGCAATAAAAATATAAAATAATGTTTAATTAAGGAAATATCAATGACTGGACTAAACTATTAGTATGGCATAAAATGCTGGCAAATAAGTGAGCATTCAGCTAAAACGATTCAATCAATTTTAGCAACAGATTAACATTAAAGAAAAAATGAAAGTCAATTTTGTAACACATACCTGCAAACTTGACTGTTATGTGGCTGCCTTTGTTAAGCACAGAATTTTAATTGAAATGAAACCAGTTTTGTTTTGAAAAATGCAGAAAGGATATTTGTTATTACATATGAAATATAATTTATATGGTTCTTTCTAAATATTTCTATCTTCGCCCCAATAGTATAAGGGAGTCCTTTTCTTTGTCTTGTGTCTAGTTGTGTTAACTAAGTGTTCTCAGCTACTATGTTATTTTATATTATTTCACTGTTTTGTAAATCTTTAAAATTAGTTTTACTCTTATTCTGTTTTTAACTGTTAGCCACCCAATCATGCATATGAGATGGGCAGCCATATAAATTTATAAAAGAAATAATGTATATTATTTGTTACATATCTTGTCATTCATTCCTTCTCTTTTGTCTATAAAACTAAAAATAACTGGCAATATTTATTATATCGTCAAAAGCCAAAGTAGCACACTCATTTATATATTATTTATTTCTATATTATATTTAAATATTAATTTTATACATGACACTTTATGTATTTCCAGAATAAGTTCTCCAAGGGAGTGAATTATTTTTCTTAACATTTTTCTTAACATACACTAAGGAAAAAAATATCAAACTTAAGCAGTTTTACTAGATATCAAAATCACATCAACTTTCAACAGGCCAGAAGAAAAGAAAGAAAGAAAGAAAGAAAGAAAGAAAGAAAGAAAGAAAGAAAGAAAGAAAGAAAGAAAGAAAGAAAGAAAGAAAGAAAAGTGCTGGCATTTAGATAATTTAATTTCTTTCTAATGTGTGCAAAATATATTAAAGTCACTATCAGGCAAGTCTCTCTTGGTAGAAACTTCAACCAACAAGATGGAAAGACTTTGAAATGTTCACCTTACCATCTTATACAACTTTTTTCTTGTTTTACTTTGGCTGACTGAGATATTCAGAAACTCCTAAAACACTCAAAAACAGTATTAGTGAAAGGAAGATGGTGTCAGTATTTCAAAGTGTAAACATTTTTAAGGTAGATTATAAAATGGTAACTTCTTCTATAAGGAGAAGAGTGTTTCACAAATACCAATGGGCAAGATCAATCAAAAAAATGGGTAGTATTTCCTCCTTATTTTGAATGCACAACTTTCTTGCTTAACTATTTTCAGCTTAGGCCTTTGAAAACTCTATCAATTGGAATCATGAAAACCATATTTTCCAGTAGTCTTTACATTTATAATTGTGGTGAATATGACAAAAATTGATTTGGAAGATATACATTCAACATGGTGAAAAAAAAAGAATTGTTAACATTTAATGTATTGTTTCATTTAAGTCACTAGGTCTAATCTATTTATTACATTAAATATTTTGACAGTAATTTTCATTAAAGAAACTGACAAAAATATAGATATTTTTAAAAAGAAAAGTATCATAGTATCTACAGTAGATGTGTATAATGAACCCTAAATGTGTTAAGAGCTCAATGTTGTAACTCAGAAGACAAGTGCCCATTTTCCCCTTATTTCATTTGTTGAGTTAAGCAGGTCAAAACAATTTGGTTTTCAATTCATAACTCAGCAGGAATCACCTGTTTTGCTGAACATCAAGCTGTTTTGTTTTTGCTTTATTGAAGTTGTCTCTGATCGCATTTCCATTTTCTTTTCCTGAGATTTTAGTTAAACTACATTACTGAACTTGGTTCTAAATCTGAATATATGGGAAGGCCAAAGGTTACAGGGGCTACCAAGGCTAGAGATGTTGGTAAAACAGTGCCATTTTTGCTCATATAATAAAGATTGTGAATTAGTTGTGCAAAAGTTTGTATCATTTCCTTTAAGACCCTTTTGATTTCTATCTGTTAGTAGATAATTATATTTAGCTATATGCCATTAAAAGTCATTAACAGATTTCTATGTACTAGACTGTTAAAAGCACAGGAGGTAGGTTTGCTTTCTGGATTAATCTATAAAGTTAACTATCATCTTAAGCAATCTAATTCATCTTATTTGTACCTGGTGCCGTGTCGATATGTTGAATCAAATTTTTCATAGTCCTTTTATAGTGTGGCTATATTCTTGAGCTTAAGACTGAATCTGAGAGCACACCAAGAACTAGTCATAGCCATTTCCAATGCTTTTGTCAATAACTAGACATTTGCATAATGTTCACCAGATCATCCTTTTTTCTTCTATGACCTCCAATCTTTTTTGCAATGAGGATGAAGGTTTTCTTCCCATGGTTAATTGTCACCAAATAATTACCAATAATTTATTCTAATGAATCACTTTAGAAGATATTACTGCTACTAGTATAAATCAGAACAGTAGATAAGCATAAAATAATTTGTGTTACAAGAAAATAGATGTATTTCACTAAGAAGCATGAATCTATTTTATTTTCCCCAGTATAATTTTATCATATGTTCTTTATTATCTAGTTTAGCAGTGGTGAGGAGCTTTGACAGGTTATTGAAATCACAAACTGAATAAGGTTTGATAGACTTTATTCAGATTATTGGGCAAGATTGTTTCTAAGACTGGAGGAAGAAAAAAAATGGAGGAAAAAGGAAAAACAGATACAGAAGAGGAAAAGGAGGAATGAAAGACTATTGTGCTTGCACTGTATCTTTTCTTTTTGCTATGTTCTTCTTTTGTTCATGAACACTTATGATTTTGTTCATATTCACTTCTGGCGGGAGAATCACATGGTAATAATTCTGATGCTTCAGCTGAAAAGGATATCCAACTCCTGATCTAAAAATAATTCAAATCTCCTTTGATGTATGTATGGCTTGAATTTGATAGTTTTGTCTTAATAATAAAATAAATCTTCAAGACCAAACAAAAGCTGGTGCCATGATGATTAAGCACACCTTAAACACTGTAAGTATATTTAAGTAACTAATCTGAGAGTCACAATGTGTTGTACACATTCCAACTGTGATTTTACTGATTAAATTCAATTGAAGGATCAGTGTCCATGTATTTTTACTTTATAAATTAAATCATACTAATGCTGTATAGGAATTGATATAGTTCTTGTGTATATACTTCCCTTCTAATAATCATAATTGAATATAGAATAAAAACTAAACTGAATTTTGATATAATTGTACTTAAAGATAAATAATATGGAAAATAAATAATAAACAAGAAAAAAAATAATATTGTTCATGTTAACCATTGGTAAGCCTGGGTCCAACATAAAGTTTCCAAATAATAAATAAAACATAAAAAAGAGAACATCAATAAACACATAAAAATTTGTACATAGACACACAAAATAATAACAAGCCATCTGGTGAATTTTCAAGGATACTCCACCATGTCATTCACTATCGATTTCATATCCATACTCACTTCTTAAGTGGATATCAATAAGGGAAATACATACACAAAATGAATAACACATTTCATCAGGTATTATAACCTTTTTCTAATTAGATATAACAATTGTCACTAAAGAAGAAATTGCTTTAGAGTCCATGTAAACATCTAACATTTCTAATCTTGCACAGCAGGCAGATAAGCACTTGCTGAAATCATGGTTTTAATTATTGAAATACATGCTTTTCTGTTTCTTTTAATAATCTGTATTCAATTGCACCTCATGGAATGACTTTTAAAGCCCCAATTTACAATCCCACACAAACCCTAACCTATTCCTATTTTATAACTTCCAGATTTTGTGATTAAATATTGCATTAATTAAATCCAGTATTCATTAAATCCAATGTCTTTTTCAAGGTTTTCACACTGAATTACCTAAGTTAATTTTGCTATAAGTTTCTTATCCTCCTTTTAAAAAAAAATAAGTTTATTGGGAGGTTTTGTGTCTGTGTTTGTGTGTTTGTGTATGTGTATGTATGTGTGCTGTATCTTAGCAGCAAAAATCCAATTGACCAAACTACAGAATCTGAAAATATAAACTTCTCACTACCATTTTTATTTGATTAAATGGTTAGGATAAGTCCTTCCTAAATTTTTATCTGACCATTAAGCCACTGAGGCTCCTGCATCTCTTGTCTAATTTTTTCCTAGGCAGTATTTTTAACCCATACATCCAAGGTCACATTCCATTACATCCCATAGTGCAAATTTTGCACTGAAATGAATACCTCATTTTATCTCTTTTCCCTAGTTCTCTCCTTGTACATCATGAAAAATAAGGGAAACACAAACCTTTTTCTGGTTTTACTTCATAAATGATAATACTTTTATGAGAATACAGCTGAACTGAATAGCTCTATCCCCACTAACATTACCTCAAATATTACTAACAGGGTCAATAGAACATGAACATTAGATAAGTAAGTTTTTATACAGATACTAGCTGATTCCTTGAGTCAATTGTTGACAGGTTTTGTTCAACAAACTTCACAAGAAGGGGACATATAAGTTGGAAAGAGAGCCCCAAGGGCACACCTACTCCAAAAAGAAAAAGCAATATTTCTCATTCCCAACTAATCATGACATTTTGATAAGCATTCATGGCTGAAGCCCCTAAAAGTATAAAAAGGGAGTGGGTTCCCTCCTAATGAGAACTGGAGGTGTAGATTCCCTGGTATTCTTTTACCTTGCCTCTTGGTGGAGTGAATGTACGTTAAGTGTAGCCTTCCAAAGCTAATGGAGGAGTGGGAGAAATAATCAGAATTAGACTGGAGAAAATGACACTTCAGACCTGCAGGAGCCATGAAGAGGAGATACCAATATATTCAGTGTGTGGGCCAAATTGGCACCCTTATGAATGGAGCAAGAGACATAAAACAACGTTTGATAAAATATGGACTTTATAAAACAAAATAGTAACTCCAACAATCTCATTGCTAGCTTCTGCACCTGTAGAAGCAAGTGCATAGATAATTGTATGCATTACTCAGTTTCACCACTGAAAGAAAGCTTTGAATGTATCTTAAAAGTTAGCACATTATGGTTTTTGCCTACAAAGACAGGTAAAAATAGAATATTCTCCTAAAAAGAAAAAAAATATATAGATACAAAGTAATTTGAAAGGGAACCACAGCTATTTCAATTTCATGCCTACTGTTATGCATACATTATGGCCATAATGGCTTTTACTTTATTTATTAAAGTGATTCAATAAGTTTGCAACTAGTCCATGTGTTCATTATATAATATGCACAAATGTCTGGATCAGGGTGATAATTCCAATTTTCAATACAGGGAGGATCATTTTATATTTCTTCAAATATAATGAATTCTTCAAATATAATGAATGAGCCGAGATGGCGCAGCAGTTAGAGTGCAGTACTGCAGGCCACTTTAGCTGACTGTGTTCAGCAGGTCAGCGGTTCAAATCTCACCGGCTTAAGGTTGACTCAGCCTTCCATCCTTCGAGGATAGGTAAAATGAGGACCCAGATTGTCGGGGGCAATGTAAATATATATATACATTGCTTACTGGTGTACACCGCTTAGAGAGTGCTTGCACTTAAAGCGGTATATAAGTCTCATAAATAAATAAATAAATAAATAAATAATATTTCTTCTGAAATCAAAAGTTGATTTACCTGACATGTTTTTATTTCTCACACCCATGAGTAAAA